TGTGTGTCTGTTTTTGAGTTGAAATAATTGGAAGAATCAGTTCATTAGCAAATTCCAAAGCCAGATCCTGGTCTGTTTGTTCGTTAAGCTGGTCGCGGCCCGGTGCGGGCGGGATCCGTCTCGGGTCGGGTCGTGACAATTAGCAACATCTATTGATTCAATAGTAGCCATATGATCCATTAGGTTACTCCTCCTCCTATAGGATTGTTGATGAAGCATTTTGAATTTTGTAGGTTGCCACATCTCCTCTATCTTTCTTATGAGGGCATTCCATAGTTCAAGCTTGATCCTTATTATGCACTTAGGTGGTGACTTATATTCGTCATCACTCATCAAAATGCAACTGAAATCTAGATTGAGCATCCAGGTTAACGCTATGTTATCAAGCCACTAATGATAAATTTCCAACTTGAAAGTTCCTTTAAGGACGCTTTCCCTTTGTACCATTGTAGCCCCACCAAGGCCCCTTGGGATCACCTTTATCAATATTTCCATCACCATGATATCACAATAAGTATTTTAGCTTGAATTTTCATTAAAAACACTCCACCCCCATGAGTGACTTCGGTAGGTTTCTCTTTCGTGGGTTGGTAGGGGCCTCGATCTGAGTGATCTGTCTAAACCTTGTCTTTCCTATAGGAGGCTACTCCCCTCTAACTATTTTCTCAAGTTGGACTTTGATGACCCTCAAACGATTTTCATTGCCAAGGTCCACAAGGTTCAAGTTCATGACCTGCTAGCTTCTTATTAAATACCTAGAAAAGCATATGTAAGTACACAATTAAGTGAAAATTTCATTTCAAATACATCATTAAAGTAAATCTTTGGGATTTTTTATAAGTACTATATATGATAAAAATTTGTGTCATTTATTTATAATTTTAATATAAAGTTATTTTATAATCTTTTAAAAGAAATACAAAAATTGTTAAATTCGTGAGAAATAATTTGTTGCATTGGTAAGAGTATATCATCATCAACTTCCTTTAAATAAATAAAAAAATGTTCCCCTTTATAATAATTTTTAAAGATAGAGAGAAAGTGAGGGAGAGGGGGAGAGAGATAAAGAGAGAAGCAATGTGGAGTGATGGAGAGAGCGATGGTGAGAGAGAGAGAGGGGGAGGTGATATCCAAAAATGGTAATTTTCAAGAAATTTAAATGGACGAAGATCCAATATTAAAATAATCTTACCGCTTAAAATAAAAGCTTTATTTATCTTTTCTTAACCTATAGCACAAGTTGAATGCAAAATTCACTGTTCCAAATCTATGATGATGAAAGAACTTGTTAATAATTGATTAAGACTCCCCATCAAACGAACTTTCTGATGTGAAGGAGCAGTTAATACTTGATTAAGACTCCCAAATAAGACTCATCTGATGTTATTTTTTTAGCAAAGAGGAGAGAAAATAAATTACTTTACGTTCCTCCACAGGGTCCTCTAAATATCTTCACGTTATTCGAAAAGGCACGAGGTGCTGTCAGGCTTGACCGTTTCTTCTAAGTAGACAGAGCAGCATTAATGGCTGCACGAGTGGGGCATTAACTATCATAGACTGGTACGTCATTAGTATGATTTTTCCAATGCGAAGAAAGACAGCGACAGATGCTGTAAAATTGCTTTGGATATGGATTTTCAAGGCCAAATCTCTGCAACATGGAAACATTTATGGTTTTTTTTTCACCGTTATGTAATTTAATTTTTATTTGAATTTCATTTTGATCGGTTCATTGTGAGTTTTAATTATTTTTTTTTTGGGAAAATTTGGGGCATAAGCCCATATATTAAAGGAAAAGAAAGTTACATAAGTGGAAAATTACAAGTAAAAGCCCAAGATATCCAAAAATAAAGAAAGGGCCAAAAGAAAATAAACCCCAACTATACCAACTATACCATCAATTACAAAATTGTGAAAAAAGTAATTCACCAAAACAAAATAGGGGGGCAAGATCAGAAGGGAAGCCAGCTGAAGGAGGCCCAGCCGGATAGCTGGAAAGGATCAAATTGCCGCTGTGAATAGGGAATAAAACTGACCAGCTCCCAAGCCCAACTAAACTGGACTCAGATAAAGAAGGGGCATAGAAAGGAACCCTGGTTGCCCGAAGACCGTCCAAGGGCCCAGATAAAGGGAGCATCATCATCGTCCAGTTCGGGCATAGCAGGTAGAACGTATGGACGGAGGGCCACAGTGTGTCACAGCTGAGAAAACTCCTCAGCAAAAGGAACCCATATTCAACCTTCAAAATAGCTTTCCAATACAGCAAGCAGATATATCTCCACAGCAAAAAGGACCCAAATTCAACCTTCCATAAAACATCCCAGTCCAGCCCGCAGACATAATAAAGCCTTAAAGGTCCAAAAACAAAGCAGGTAACAAACTCCACAAAGAAGTGAGGAGGAAAAAGAGGGTTAGCCAGCAATGCCAAAACGACCATTGAGCTCATCAAAATGTTTCCATGATTTAACTTTAGCAAAAACAGCTCTACGAATGATGCTGCAAAGTTGGGAGGGGCTGTTCCAGATCTTTTCAAACTTCCTTGTATTCCTTTCTTTCCAAAGGTAGTAAATAGAGCTGCTAATAATCAGATAGCAAAAATTCTTTTCCCAACTATTGAAATTAAGAGAATCTTCAAAATATTCAAATGCTTGAATCACGTTAGGCCGCAGAAGGAAAACATCCAGGCAAGGAAGAAGGGAAATAATCACAGTAAATGAGTAGTCACATGTAAAAAACATGTGAGAATGATTTTCGCTTCCATTCGAACAAAAAACACAATTGGGAAGAACATTAATCCCTCTCGAAATAAGTAAATCCGCCATTTTAAGCTTGCCCAGAAGAGCCATCCAGGTATATGAAGTAAAACGTAAGGATTTTCCTTTATGCCAAATGAATTTATGCCAAGAAACTTCATCATAGTTTGAGAAATAGCTGGAATAAAAGCTAGAGAAAGCCAGCTTGTCACAGCCGTCCCAAAACACCACCGAATTCTCGCCAATATTGATACCAGAAATCTTATTCTTTAAAATAAGAGGTGTATTAGTAGGGAGAGACCAATAGTTGTTGGAAAAGTAAGATTTCACAAAAGGATCCCTGAACCTGAAGGACGGCAAAATGTTTTGAAGTGATCTCCCATCACACCAGGGATCCCATTCCATCGAGAAATTGCAATTGAGAGAGACAGTGAAAGAAAATTTGTCTTTCACCAACTGAGCCGTGTTGTAAATTCTCTTCCAGAATTTAGAAGCATTAGAGCTGAGAGGCTTCCAAGGAGATATATATTTGTTTCTAAACCAAGCAGCTGTTAGATTATCCCTACTAAAAAATCTCCAAAGAAAGGAGCAGCAATTGGCGTGATACAGAGCATCAATGGAGGGGATACCCAGCCCTCCAAAAATGGAAGGTAAGGCAGTATTACCCCAAGCAATTAAGTGAAGTTTCCTTTCATTAATCCTTCCATGAAATAAGAATCTGGAACAAAGCTTGTTAAAAAGTTTGCAGCAAAGCTTGGGTATGATCGAGCCCCTAATCCAATACGCCAAAGTGTTAGCAATTGTGAATTTAATGAATTGAAGCCTACCTGCAAAAGACAAAAATTTAACTTTCCAACCATCCAGTAGAGTAAAAATTTTACTCGCGAGTGGTTGGAAGTGAGTAGCATTAAGGCGGCAAGCAGCAATAGGAATACCAAGGTAAGTAAGGAAATGGCTTGTATTGGAGATGCCAAGCAGCTGACAAATAGAATTAGTGTCAGTGACATCTTGGGAAAAGATAATCGATCTCTTGGACGGGTTTATGAAAAGACCAGAGGCATTAGAGAAGGTGGAAATAGCATTGGCAAGAGTGATAGCATTAGAAGAAGAAGCTTTACCAAAGACTAAAACATCATCGGCGTAAAGGAGGTGAGACACAGAAATAGAATTCATGGTCACCCCAAGAAAATGGGGATTGGTCTTATCCAAGCAGCAAGAGAAACCATCCATAGCAATGCAAAAAAGCAGGGGTGATAAAGGGCAGCCTTGCCTCAAGCCAGATGAGGAGCTGAAAAAACCGTGCAAAGATCCATTGATACAAATGGAGAAGAAGACATTAGAAATGCAACCTTTTACCCATTTGATGATCTGCTCAGGGAAACCTTTCTGCAAAAGCCTTTGAAAAAGGAAATCATGGGAGACCGAGTCAAAAGCTTTCCGGATGTCCAATTTAGCGCAAAAAGAATGTTTGAATCCTTTGAGAATCTCGGAAGCTAAAATGATGTTATCAGTGGAAGAGCGATCTTTAATGAACCCAGATTGGCTATTGTGAATGATGCAAGGAAGCACCCCTTTTAATCTGTTAGCTACCAGCTTGGCCATAATCTTATACAAAACATTACACAGAGAGATCGGTCTATAATCAGAGATGGTAGATACATGAGTACCTTTGGGGATTAAAACCAAAGCCGTAGCTTTAACGCTTCTAGGAAGATTACCAGTATTGTAAAATTCTAAAACAGCTCTGTAAATGTGAGGCCCAGTAATATGCCAAGTTTTCTTGTAGAAGGCAAACGTGAAACCGTCGGGGCCAGGGGCAGAGGAATCACACCCATCAAAAACCACCTTTTTAACCTCCTCAAAGGAAAAAGGTCTGATTAAAGGGTTAATCATATCCTGAGCAATACAACCACCAGAATTGATGGAATAGTTTAAAGCATTGATGGGTAAAGGGGCATTAAATAACTTCTTAAAGTGGTTGATGCAGGCAGAAGCGATGTCCTGAGGAGAGGAATAAGAACCCTGATCATCAGAAATTTCATGAATATTGTTGTGATTCCTCCTAGCACGAATCTTGGCATAAAGGAAGCCTAAATCATCTTCCCCTTGAGAGAGCCATCTAGCTTTTGCACGTTGGGAGATCCAGGAAGCCCAAGAGGCTTGGAGAATTCTAAAATTATTTTTCAATAAATTATAAAAACTTTCGTAAGAATAAGAAGAAAAATCCAAAAATTGTAGACTGTCCAGTATCAAAAAAGTATGCCAAATAAGTGCACATAATTTCTGTTTTCTTAAATCAGAACAATACTTTTCTTCTAAACTAAAAAAAAAAAAATGAGATTCAAAACTTACTTAGATCGGAGGGCTGCAGGATGCCGAAGATACACGGCCTTCGGTGCGGGCAGAATCCGCATACAACGGAGCAGCCGACTGGAGGAAGAATCTCCGATGATCGTTTGAGCGGCGCGAAGAGGCCGACGGGTGGATAGCGTTTTCATCAGCGGCAAATAGGGAAGGAAGTGGAGTCTGACTAGGCAGATCAAGGCGGCTCCGCTGGGAAAAGGGGCAAGAGTGATCGTTCTGCATACAAGACAATTCCGCTTCAGCAACTCCTTTGAAGTAACAGAAAAGATGCGAAGAAGCGTTTCGAACGACAATCGAAGCATTTTTCATACAATTTCAATTATTTTCTTCTACCTCTGAGCTGAGATCCGCGTTCTCTCTGATCCGCTTCAGGCAATTGCTCGTTGCCTTTCCCGGAGACAGCGACGATGACTCCTCTCCGCTTGATGAACTCGCGGTCGCAGGCGGCGTCAGCCTCCACGGAACCACCTGGTAATCCTCCTGCTCCTCCTCATCCATATCGGCGTCTTCACCGTCAACGTCGTCCTCGTCCTGCTCTTCACCGTCTGGCGACGCCTTGTCAATGGCTGTGCAACGATCACAGGCCGAGATGATGGGGCTTAGCCGAGCCCCGGTCGCTCGCCACGCTGTCGGGCTCTGGCATCTCCGACAGAGAAGCACACGTGGGTGGCGCTCAACCAGGAAATTTGCTCCGTGGACCTTTGCATCACAATCCCAGCACAAGCTCGCCTGATCCGATTCACAGTACATCCTCGCTTCCCTGCCGCATAGCTCGCACCTTTTCATTCCTCTCTCTCTCTCTCTCTGCCCTCCTTCGATCAAAAGCCCTCCAATCTCTTGATCCCTACTGTTTAGGAAAGATGGAAGAAGAACAAACGAAGCGGAGCACCTTGTTCCCGTTAATATCCTTCCTTTTTAGTTTCCGAAATGACGGTATTAACCCTGACGCCGCTAGCGTCTTATCACCTCTGGACCTATGGTGCACCGGTTTTTTTTTTTTAATGTTGAGGGCTATGGTTTACGTTCGTTTTAAAATAATTGAATAATTACCCAAAAATTTTGAATAAAACAAAATTTAAGGACTTATCACTCATATATAAAATAAATTTGAAAAATATGTGATTTTTATTTACATTGAAGAATATATTTATTTGATATTTACTAAATAATTTATTATTAATTGAAAATATATTTATTTTTCCTTGATTTATTTTATATTATTGTTGCAAGCTAGAATATACGCGACGATAGAGTTATGATCTTCGTCTTAGTGTTGCACGGATATCCAACTCACACACAGAGAATACAAGATTTATACATGGAAAACTTTATAAAGGGGAAAACCATGGAGCCTAGACCAGTTGAAAATGATTCCATTAGAATCTGAGTATGTTACAGTGGGTTGCCTCGCCCCCAAGGACGATCAGATTAAAAATATCAATAGTATGATTGATGTCAGGGGTAAATAAAAGTACGACATCACTTGACGGTCTAGTGGAACTTCAAGGTCACCCGGTGATACTGGCAGAATTCCGACATCAGTTGGAAGTTCATGTGTCGTTAGCAAAACCCTGGTGTTCGTAGATGTCTCGAAAGAACTCTAGGCATTAGGTGGTCGTTCAGCGGAACTCAGAGCCTCAGGCGATCATCCGACGAAACTCTGGCGTCAAGTGGCAGTCCAATAGAACTCTGGGCATCAAGCTATGGTACGATGGAGCTTAGAACGTCAGATGGTGGTTTGGCGAAGCTCAAAACGTCAAGTGGTGGTCCGACGTAACTTAGAGCGTCAGGCGGTGGTGCGATAGAGCTTAGAATGTCAGTTGATGGTCTGACGGAGCTCAGGCCGTCAAGCGGTGGTCTGACGGAGCTTAGGACATTAGGTGGTGGTTTGACGGAGCTTAGGATGTTAGATGGTGGTCAGACATAACTTAAGACGTCAGGTGGTAGTCCGGGGGAGCTCCGGGAAGTGGTCGAGGAGGTAAGGAGGCAAGAGTAATCTCCGATCTCTCTATTGAATCCTTTGACTTAGGGGTTCCTTTTCAAGAGGAAGAAGTGGTCTATTAATAGATTTCCTAGAATGGCATAGCCCGCAAATAAGAGGAAAATCAAGGGTTAATAAAGAGTGATTTGGATGGACGTCTGATGTTGAATCCCTTGATCGTGTGCCGTTCATTAGACATTTTGAAAGTCTTAATGATGTCGGAAATCCACGATCTTGGGCTTGTTGGATTCATCTCGTCGAGCCGCTTGATTTGAATATAAGAATGTCACATTTGGTAAACTAAATGGTGGTTTGATGTAAAGGCCATTTTTCTCCCAGGATCGTCCGGGACGAAGTTGGATCGTCCCGGGACGATCGGTACAGGTTGTGCGGGAAATGTTTCTGGCTGCATGGTTCGTATGGACGAAATTTGGATCGTATGGACGAAAAATTTTACAGAGCCAAGTCGTCCAGGGACATTAATTAATCTCGTCTGGACGAAATTCGTTCAGAGCCGAATCGTCCCGGGACGAAGTTGCGATCGTCCGGGACGATCCGTCTGGATATATATAGAAATGAGATATTTTGAAGAGAGAGAAAAGTCCATGAAAGAGAAAATCAAAGGAAAAAGAAGGAAAAGTGATTTTTGGGCGACTCCGGTCCGTTTTCGTCCGTTGCTGTAGTTAAAGAAGTTGACTGACTCGAGGTAAGGCTCATTCCACCTTTCTAAATTTTCAGAAACGAGGATTTTGACGAGTTTTCTGTTTTGAATTTTGTTTCCGTTAGCAAATTTTGGGTATTATTTTCTTTTGACAAAGGTTTTACCGTGTAACTTTTGGTATGTCTTTGAGATGATAATTGCGCACGTTTTGAGTATTTTCTGGAAGATTTTTACCGGATATTTTGGATTATGCGGTGTTTTAAGCAAACGACAAATTATCAGGATGTTGAAAAATGTTTTGTCAGTACAATGAAAGTCTTATAATGTTGTTGTGAATGTTCTGTGGTAATTTGGAAAATTTCTGAATCTGTGAATTTTGTGTAAATTTCGTATATTGCCGTTATGCCGCTGAATTTTCGTACGATTTCTGAATTTTCTGAAATGAGATGATTGAATGAATTGATTAATTATATGCTATCGGAAGGGAGTTATAAAGGGCCGGAATCCTATGTGATTCCGTTGTCTGGGTCAGGGAGTTCTGAATTCTGAAACGAGCTCTGAAATCTGAAAATAAGTTCTGTTCCGGAACCTCTGATATCTGTTCTGTTCTGTTATGGTGCTATAAGCACAACGGGAGACATAAGGGGTCAGAATCCGTTGAGATTTTGTCTGTGTCAGGGAAGGGAGGCATAAGGGGCCAGAATCCATTGAGATTCTGTCTGTGTCAGGGATATCTGAAATCTGATGTTATATGAAATCTGTTGTTTAATAGTTGATAATCTGTTATGTGACTTATCTGATCTATTTTATGAATTATCTGGTTAGAATTATCTGATATGAATATGAATTTATCTGAATTCTGATTTCTGTACGATTTTGATTATCCCGTACGATTTTGTCTGCTCTGTGACTTACAAACGCTTTATGATATCCGTTCTGAACTCTGATTCAAAATGATTTCAGTTTTCTGTATCCGTAAGCTAATTTCTGATTGATTAAGTATCTGTTCTGTCTATTGCATGATTTCTGTGCGATTGTTCGAATTCCGTACTGATACGATTTATGTTGTGAGTTTCTGATGATTTTGATTGGTGATTGATGTCTTGCTGAGCTGTTAGCTCATCCTTGTTTTCTACGTGATTTTCAGGTTCTTGGAAAGGGAAGGAAGTCGTTGATTAGCGGTCCAGAGTCTGATCTATGATTAGGTATTTTGTACTTTTGATTTTTGTACAGTCATGGCTTTTCTGTTCTGTTATGTTCTTTCTGTCCGTAAGCCATGTACTATATCTGTATATGATTATTTTGGTGAAAGAAAAGATAGATGAACTGCGCTGTATTTGGATATTTTTAGTAGCTCTGTATTTTTCTGTCTGTGTTATGTTTGGAAGAAAGTTTTGAAGCAAATTCCAAAGCCAGATCCTGTATTTGTTGGCTCCGTCGCGACCCGATGCGAGCGGGATCCGTCCCGATCGGGTTGAGTCGTGACATTTGAACCTCCCAACAGCGCTTCGGGTCCTCGATTCATACCCATTTGGCTCGAATTGAGTCGAATTTGGTGTCGTTGGATTCATATTTCCGAGACATTCAGTTTGATTATAAGTTTATTGAAATCAGAGTTCAAATGGTCCCAATTTTAATTTCAAAAATTACCAACTTGATTTTGCCTCGATATTCGTGTCCGATCAAGATTTTTTTTAGGATGTATCAATTATTATTATTTTTAAAAAATTTATGCTTTTAAAATCTTAATACTATTTTGAGCTGTAAATATTAATTAATAATTAAATAGATAAGTTATAAAATTTTCTTTTTAACAATTCTGTACTTTTAATTAAAAGTTATATGACTAATCATAGAAAGATATTCAAATCATTAATATTAAATAAAATTAACTAAATTTTATTAAAAATAGGATTGTAAATGAATCAGTACTCTCATTGAATAGATTGGATTTTTTTTATTAATGCTCATTAAAATTTTTTCATGTTAGTGATCAAACAAATTAAATTAAATTTTTAAAATTTGAACTTTTGTCAAGTTCTATCATATAAAAACTTATCTATTTACACTTATTTTAAACAAAAAATAAACATTTTATTCAAACAAAGCAAAGTTACAGATCAAAGCCCCCAGCCGATGCAACAACAAAGAAATTGAATCATAATAAAAGGCTCAAGACAGGAAGTGAGGGAAAGAAAGCTCGAAATTGGACTCAGGAGTGGAAGCCCCCTGCACCATCAACGCTACCAGCCACGAACCATCTAGAGGTGAAAAAGCCACCAAATTCATACATCGAAGCAACCAAGCACAAGCCCTTATCACCTTGATTTCCAACCAGCTAAGTCAGCAAAGGGAAGCTGGGGCTTCCTCATCATTGTCCACAAAGCCGTCAAAATTGATCGCTAAAAGACAAAGCCAAAACCTAATGCTTTTTACCTTTATTCTTACGTTTATGACCTCCATTAGATCGACTAGTGTTAACAAGCTTAACTGGCTCCACCACCTCACATTCGCCAAAAACCTCATCTTCCTCATCCTCCTCCACATCAAACGAAGAGGAATCACTCAAAATAAGCCAATCATTTTGCACTAAAACTGGATTTTTGATAGAGTTAGTCACCTTAGACTTCAGTTCACTAGCAAACATAACACTGATTGAAACATTAACAAAAGTAGTTGAACAACCCGAAACATCCTTAATTTGACATAGGTGAAACCACAACAATGTGGTCAAAAGATTGGGTAGGGGAGACCACACTAACCAACCCCGGGCCAAGCACCCTATAATCCACCTCCCCAGACAATTTGATCGAAAGAGGCACAACATCCACAAAAGAAAAACTCTCCTTTAAATTAGTATCACAATGCCTAACACCAACCAAAGGAGCAGAATGAAAAGGGCCCAAAACAACATCCCCAGAAACTACCAGAGGAAGGTTAGCATAAGGATCAGGAGCATGGGAAATAGGCAACACGGCCTCAATACACTGATGGGGAACCTCCAAACCAACCTGATTAACCCCAGTTAAATTAACGAGTGAGCCAACATCAAATGCAACACCCTCATGACTAACAACCCCCAGGGAGATAGGAGACACAACAGGAGAATCAACAAGACCCCCCAGGTGCACCCCGTGGTCCACCCTAATAAAAGGAACAATAATGTCAACTGGGTCAGAAGAATTAACCAAACGAGAAGAAGAAGCTTTGGCCAAATTCGGGTGCAGG